TGACATGAGTATCGATTCACGTGGCTGGAATGCGAGGACATACATCATAAGTCTCCCACCCTGATCGTCCCATTAGTCGCCTCTAATACCACGAGCGTGGGTTAATGCAGATCACATTTAATATGAGCAGGCGGTTTCATAGATTTTAGTGCACGTAACTAGCATGTGAGAACATACACCTGCAGACAGACCACCGCTCGTGGCGTTATGACATAGATACCTTACAGTATAATACATGCAGCTTATAAATCAGTCGAGGGGAAAATATACAGTCTGGTTCATATTCGTGGCTGTATTTATGCAGTTCCGTTGGTAGATTGAATAAATACGTCAGCGTCCCTTTATAGGGCGATATATTTGTGTGTATACCTCGTGTATACAATCGCATGCGATGATGTGACTTAGCGGCACGTTAATTAATCACCTGATCCCGTTATAGCGGGGAGCCACGCTGTAATTATTTGCAAAGAGTACAGCTACTGTCTGTTGGAATACTTGAAGGCGGGGGTGGGGGAGAGGGGTATCGCGAAGGAATGCCTGTAGTTTTGACAATACCGGCTTGTGTGGATGGTGCACACTCGGCACTTCATGGCGTCAGTTGACTGCTAATCTCGTTTGTAAATAGGATACATAACTGCTGAAAAGTAAGGCCTGCACTAATATAGCATATACTTGTGGATTTCAATCTTGTGGATCGTCCGCAGATAATGGTTATGCTTCTGGAAATACTGGTGGACATTACCACGGAGAAAACGTTCCCCGCATACCCCATGTCGGTAACCGACCACTGAACAGTTGAGGTGGTCGCGATGACCCGTGATGGAGTGGTGTATCCGCCGTCGGCCTGGTCGTTGCTCGTACTCTTAGCCATAGACTAAGGCTTAGTCTCTGAATATATATAATTTTGATAGTAACAAACAAGCCCATTTATATTGAAAAGGAGCCCTAGGGAGACCAGAGATTCAGAACCTGAGGAAATCTAGACTTGCTTTATTTAGGGCTTTAGCACTGCATAGAAGGCTTGGCAGTAGGGAAAATAATGTGGTTCAGGGACTGTGAGACAGACTATCTTAGCCACTGTATAATTATTACCTTAACACCACACTCGGCGATATTCCAGATATGTAACTGAGAGAGTTTTACATGTCGGTTCTCGCCACAATTTGTGCGTTTGACCAGGCAGGCATATCTTAAAATACGAGATTAGGCCCCTAGCCGCATTTACTTACCAAAATGTCTGACAGTCTCCGGACACCATATAATGTACCTGTATTTACCATCCATGTTTAAATTGAACTGGTAATTAGTACATTTCTACTGTGTGTGACACAAAAGATTACATTATTAATGTAACTACTGTCTCTAAATATGGTCAGGGCAACTGAGTCAAGGGATTGACATGGGTTCGCAGTTTGTACACGACTTTAACCAAGTCCTCGGGCCAAACCCACCCCACCCCCACCCCACCACCACCACCACCAACACCCCCACCCACCCCAACCCTGAATGTCTGCATTACCCATCATTGTCATAGGAGGCGACTAACGGTATCGGGTGGTGAGGTTCAATGACATATGGTTGATGCACGTCATCTTGTCCCAAATGTGAAGATCGATGGATCAATTGCAGACCGCTGTCATGCATGGTGTTTTGCCTTGTACGACGTTGCATAACAATAAAACAATCCATATGCGTTAATTAATGTTGAGTTGAGCATTACGTCACATCGGCATTACCCCAGCCATAGTGACAGATCAAGTCTGCATTCATAAACAGTCAATTAAAGAGCTGAATTAGCTGTACTACGAATGTTTATCAAATCTATGCATACAAGAATGTGCACTTGTTGGTCCGGAAACCAGCTTATTGTATACGACTTGGAACATTTACATTCTTGACCATCCGATCTATTGTCTCATTTTACGAAATGCATATAGGTTCCTGATACTATTGTTTTGTTTTATCTGCGACCTCTTGGTGAAGATATTTTGTAACCTTCGAGGTGTAAAACATTCACTTCCTGTGGGAGGTAGAAATGTTTATTAGATACATTAAGCCAAATACAGCACAGGTATGTCTCTTTTGTATTTTCAGAGATACACGCATGCACAAGTTCATAAGTACTGACGCACTGCCACACAGTATACTGGATCTGTCCCCTTTATATATATATATCTAACATGCAGCTATGTCCTAATTATGAGTACCATATAGTAGCTAAGAGTATGTTTCATTAACATAATCTCGGTGTTATCACGAACGACGGAACAGCCTGTAACACCACGCGGATCGGTCGGCTCGTGCACATGCACGCATTTCAGGAGCGGTGCGGACCCACCTGGCCAGCTGCCTGATGACGGACAGCATGCTATATGTGTCAATACACTTGATACAAGTGATATCGATTACTCTGTCCATCCTGTACCTTGCAAGTCTCTAATTCAATCTGCTTAAGTCCCAACTCTTGCTTGCTACAAGAAAACGATTTTGATTATTTACTTCGCACACATGAAGGCAGATTGTTGCTACCGACTGGCGCTTAGGCGGTTGTATGTGAGCCCACTTGTCAAGAACAGTCTCTGAAACGTAGTGTACATATTAACAAAGGAAGTCTTTTTTATGTTAAAAAGTATATGCGACATACGTAATAGTTTATAATGTACGTAAAAGTGACAAGTCTATTTATAACGCTTCACTGGGTTAAAGTGAAACAATTAAATTGCCGCCTCCTCGCTGAATATGCTTTGAAAACATTACAAATAGAAATGTACAATTCACAACTGGAGAATGACATTCCGGAAACAGTTTTCGAATATACACTGTAAATGTACACTAGTGCGATTTAATTCTCTTCTATGGATGTCTTTCTATATTAATGGTAATTTACACATGGAATCGCGCATAAAAGTGCACTGCGTGAAAACAATCTTAAAAAGCTTTCCGTAGAATTATTTTTACCAACTAATCACATCGTTAACGGTAAAGTTTGTTTATCTTGAAGGAATAAGCCACAGTATTACAATTAGCGTGACGGAATGCCGTATGGGGAAAACACCCGTTGATTGCAGTAGCGAGGCTGATACAGCGATCGCTTATTTGCTTTGAAGAATTAGGATATTCCGTCACTGCGAGATTGATCGCAAATCGTCTAAAAAACGTGCCTGCGAAACCACCGGCAGCGCCTTTTGCTCTTGTCACGTGCACTGAGACTTATCTGCAGGAGAGCCAATTTGTTGCTAAATATAGCCTCAGATCGATATGGGGCTTTCCCCATCGGTGCATTAAATTTTCGATGTTGCGCGGACATCGTGTTATTGATTTAGCAAGGTATGCTGGGAACGTCTCAATGGGCACTTTTTCTCCTCTGATGACACGTGGCTACTCGGATCTTTTATGTATGGGAATTTTCTGGAGAAAATTATAAATAAACGATGAATTTTGGGATGATAGTGACGTGGAAGGCAAGGTGTGACTTTAGCATTTACATTCGAATCAAAACTGCCATGTCAGGCCCGGCTTATGTTTGCATGTAAACCTAATGAATATTCATATCACCTTTATGAATATTCAGCGTGACCTCAACGACCTTGAACTCACTAAGCGAACTGTCATTCCGTGCCGGTTTAGTTTTGTTCAGAAATCCAGTTTCTGGAAATTGTTTGGGATTTATTGTATGTATTATTACTAACTGGGTGCATTGTGTACATAAAAGACCAGAAATAGGTGGAGTATAATGTGGATTAATGAAAAATATTGGATTTAGTTTCGAGGGTGTGACTCGTGACGATTGAGTCACGTGAGTGCAATGAACATTTATTCCCAGCTGAAAGTCGAATCTGTCAATCTGCCAGTTCATTTACTATGAAATGTGTACATGGGGCGATTATACGTATAAATAATAAGTAAACAATCACTGACATTAATTGCGTTCATGCTTGTTTGTATCAATTGGAAACTATTTGAGTTTATCAAAACTGCTGAATCAACAAATTCATTTTGGGAGCTATTGATATTCAGGTATTTAATCTAATAAAACTGAAATGACCGAATATTCACAACCAATATTCTGCATGAGGCCTGAAGATATATGTACATTCTAGAATCGTATATGACACGAGGTCACATATTCTAAGTATAATTTATCTGCCATTATACTATGGGTACTTATAACATACATAGCTTTCAAGTTTTCATTCTAGTGCAACCTAAGCAAACAACTAGCGAGAAAATGCTAAAATCCGCAGTATTGAAAGCACTACAAGTATAAGCATGTTATTTTTAAAAAAATTAAAATTCAACCACCTGTTGAATTAGAGGAGTTACTCAAGCCATTACCCGTATTGCTGGTTTGAAACTTCTGTATAAAGAGGTAAATACGTTTTTATACAACCCTGACACCTTTTAAAATGTTTATTCCAGTATAATCAGGTGACATAATGTTTGGACAGATGTGTCAACAGGTATATCAAGGTGCTGTCGTGTATTTAGCCTACAGATTTGAGGGTCTGTAATTAACTTTAAAAACGTTTAATTGTATAACAAGTAAAGAATTATTGTTCATTTAACCTTGTAGATTGGTAAATTAATACTCCTAAATGTGTAGATCGCGGACAGCTTATACGCTTCAGTGCATACAGGGGGACAACTTCATAGCGACACAACTGACGGAATATATAGGACAAATTAATTGCAGTTATTTGGCTACTGGTTTTGTTTGATCACCCACTTATAACATTTTGTGCAACAATTGGTTTTTAATGAAAGTTTATAATCACTCCACGATTTGCTCCGAAAAGTTGATTGGATGCAAGGGGGCGGGGCACCCCTGCATCTGAATCAGGTGAAGTGCCACGCCCCCTTCGATTTCCACGGCCTTTTAAATTGATATTGTGTTAATTCAGTTGTTTTTCTAAAGTTTTTACCTCAAATATAAGCTTTTCAATCAAAAACAAGTAAAAGAATTCCCCAATCGTGTTAGGATGCGCCCTGACAAGTAAGTCTCGTGACTCATGCGCCGTCTGCTGCGTTACCCCACGAGAACTGGGCGAACTCAGGATGGCTCTCAACTACGACGGGATGAACGGGTCAGAAATGGACACTTCAGACTCGAGAAAAAGGCCTTTGGACGGGGAAACAGAAAATGGGGTCACCAAGAGATCGAACCAAGGAGGAGGTCAGGGTGCTAATTATCTAATTTAAGTACAGTAGCAAAGTTTGGGAACACACTAGTCACTGGTTTCAACCAATATGGCGGCAGAACATGCAGTCGACGATCCGACCGTGGGCCGCGAAAATTTTTTGGAATTTCATCAAATACTCGTCTAGATCTAAATTTTCCGGTTGAATCTTGTTGTCTGATTATTCCTCTGATACCATGTTACGTTTGTGTGTCATTGAGAGATATATGGATGTATATTTTAACTTTCTTCTGATCGGGCACTGTCTGCCCTTGTCAGTTTAGCTCGTTCGTGTAGGGACATGCATGTAGGAACATGTGTCAAAAAAATAGGACTGCCTGCAGGACTCTTCGAGTTCTGATAGTAACAATTATGGAATCTTTATAGACATATATATCGGAACTATCAATCCTGCAAGTCTCAGTTCATTTCGGCCACTTTCAAGGAGAGCAGTCACGGTCAAATCGGGCTTGTGTCTGCGCAACTCGACTGAAGGACGTGGAGATCTCTCGATACTGCAATTATGACGCCGGGCGACCTAAATTCTTGCCCCGGGATCCTCCACGAATCTTTGGTAGACAACATGTATTCAAGTATGTTTACCATATGGAAAGGTAGCGTTTATTAATCAACTGAAATTTAGCGAATTTCATAGGAATCTGTTGCGTTGTATGCTCGGCTATTTCACGCAGGCAACCAGCGTACCACCCACTTGACAGAAACCGATGTTGATTTCAGTTACGCATTTCACTAGTTGCACACGTGTCAAAACCTATGTTGTGTTACTACGTATGTTTTAATTCATCGGATGGTATCTACAGGACTTTGGCATTCCCAATTTGGTCTTGCAGGGTGCACGGTTGCTAGACCGTGCCCTCCTAAAAATAGTTCGCCCGGCTTCAATAATGTCGAAAACGATAGCAACAGACGGTCGAGGTAAAAATCGGAACTGTGTTCCAAATGTTCTGTTTTTTATGCGAATAAGAGTATTTGGATGTTTTTCATTGTGTTATCATAATTTATTTATTTCTGTATCTGATCATGAGTGCTTAGTAACCTGTGTGTACAGTATGTGTATTGTAGGTTGAACAGGTGCAATCTACCCAACGTTTGGATATAACAGTATGGCACAAATCATCAGTGTATTACATTCGTGGCTGTCAAGCAGTTTACTTTGTGATAATTTTATCAGATTGTAAAGTGCTAACATTGATATTGCAATGACCTTATTCACAGAAGTGAAATTTTGTACTAGAATGTATATTTGATCAGTGTAATATTATTCGTAGAAATATTCTCTCCTTTTGCAACAGTAATGTTCACTGAAGTTTCAGATTCTAAAAATGTATATAAGATCACTTAAATGATGTAAACATAGCCTTTTTGACATCTAGAAAGATAAGCGTATTGGCTGCATTGCCATATATATGATATGTAATGACTAATGTGATCAAGAATAGATAAGATTTGGTATCTAATACCCAGTTTGTGCGGAGATTTGAGTCTAATAACTGGAAATTTTCATCTCTTGATCATAGCCTTTTGCTTGGGTCAAATGGCAATATGAGTTTTTCATGAATTTTATCACTTTTTGGTCATACATTCTTGTATATCATTTCTAAATTTGAACAGAAAATAGGTGGTATATTTTGGAATGAGTGTTCTTGAAATTGAATGTGAAATCCTGCATGGCATCCTTCCGCATCTTAGTGTCAATGTATGGATTCACATTATCTGAGAATACTACACTAAACCAAATTTTAGTGGACCCAGACTTTGAATACGTGGCAAAGTCACAAACTGCATACCATATATGGAGTGCCTATTATGCTGGAGCATGGGTCCTCAAGCTGTAGTATTCTGCAACCCTTCTCCCCCCCCACCCCACCCCACCCCTCAGATGTCATATGCACATCATGGTACAAGGTATAACATACATTGATGCTTTGATTTGTGCCCAGTATCAGAAAACAAGAGACGAACTGAATTAATGACATTGCACTCGAGTATATTTCATATCAACGGACAGTCAAGTTTCAGTGTTATGTTGAGTGATCATTGGAAGCTGCATGCTCTCATTGCTGGTGCAAATTTAAAGCCATAGCGCACATGGTACATACTTTGAGATGTGATACAAAGTTCATGTTCTTCTGGGCATGGCTACTTGATATGTGGCACATTGGCTCATCCTTTATGTATATATATATATACTGAACATTCATACATTCCTTCTGTTAGCATGTATAATATTTTAGGTTGTGTTATATGCAGTGCTTAACTCATCTTCCATCATTATCATAAACAATCTTGATGGTAATAATTAATCAGATCATAAATCAATAATAATGAAGCTCATTATCATCTCAGTTCATCTGATTGTGCCCTGATCTCAAAGTCTGAATTTTGTACTGACATCATATATTTTTGTCATGTTATTCCTTACTTCAAGATCTAACAAACCTTCAACAGGCATTTACTGCCCAATACTTTGAATCTCACACCTGCGCTTGTGTTTTAGCATTATTGCCAGTTGATTTTAGTCTTTGTATGTTGACTAGAATATGCTGTTCATACTAAACCGGCAGATGTTTGACCAGACTTGGAACTTCACACTAGGGCCTACAAAATGGCAGGGGAACTTTCTGTAACTTTTCAGCATAAAGTCTTCTAAATTCTCAATACATGCAGTTGACAAATTCAGAGCATCACGTTATATTTCTGTTCAATGAAGGTGAAGGGGTTTTCCCAAATATACATGACAAATAGTTTATCTCGGTGAGATACCATACTGAAGTAAAAGATCTGATATTTATTAAGAAATGTGTTGTTGCAATTGGTCCTTTGTTTGATGTAAATGTGATGCTGATATATATGTTTTTTTGAGCAGGTTTCCATTTGAGCTCATGCCTCCCCTCCATTCAAGTTCCGTAAATCACCATGTACGACCATCAACCTATAATCGATCATAGGTCACTGCACACAGCCATCACCAGTTTTATGTTTGCATGTTTCCTGTTGACATCACAAGCCAGAGTTTGCCATGATTATTTGATCAGGAAATGATAAAAATATTCTGATGAAGCTATGTTGTGGTGCATCATGAACCTACATTCCTTCAGTACTAGGTAGAATGTGTGAAGGAAACAGGTTTTAAGGTTAAAGTGTCGAGCAAGGAGCTTGTTTTTTTAGATTCTTCACAATTTATCCCAGTTGGGTTTCTAGGAATGATTAGATCCTTCCACAGACATTCAAGTAATATTTTTTGGTTTTTATACGAATTACCACATTACACTGTTAAAAGGATGTAAATACTTCAGATTTGAATGCAATATGTCTTCAAAAACCGACCCAGGTGCAATTTTGTGTTTATAATTGCGAAGTTGTTCCCCAGAGACATTATGTAATTTGCTTTTTTTCTTGGCATCTGTCATGGAGTGTCTTTATCTTGTAACCATGGCTACAAATGTGAAGTCAAAGATAACTGGTATACACGTACATTTAAACTTTAGAAACTTCATAGCAGTTATGGCAAGTTGTATCTAGATGTAAAAATCATACACATGTGAGAATATAAATTGACTTGCAATGTAATTAATGCTACAACACTTGAATGTAGATTCACACTACATGCAATGTATTGAAGATCAATCATTTCTGTATTTATGATTTTGTACTGATTCATTGGCATACAGTAATCCTATCAATTTGAAACTGATAACATGTTTCTGTTTTGCTCTCAACAATATTCCAGGCTCCTGTAAATAGTCAAGTAAGGACCAGGCAATCTAGTGATTGACATCAGCAATATTATCCATGCTGTTGAACAATGACAAGTAGTAACCAAGTCACTGACTACAAGTCTGACCGTCCAATCCACAAGCCTTGTACTAACCAGCAATCCTTGCAGGATATACCTTCTTAGAGTAATATAGTTAAATGAACTTGGAAAACCCTGACATGGTTCATAACTGAATTTAGATATTTCTGTAAGATGTGCCAGAGCATTTAAAGTATTGCGTACAATCTTCAAAATTAAGGATCACACTTAGCCATCTATGGTATTTGTCTTGATACCACCAAATCTTGAACCTTTAAACATTTGGGATATAGGATGGGCATCTTTACTTGCATGCTTAATACTGATCACTTGTTTATGGGGGATGTCATGATACGACTCTTTCATGAAGATATGCATTGTTATTCATGCTAAAACACATACTGTGATACTTAATTTGTGGTAATTTTGTGTACGTGTTCATATTTTGAATAGCATAAACACCATCAAAAAGGTTTCAAACTTCCTGAATATCTGGTCTCATGTTTGAAATAAGAATGTCTCAATTCATCAGTAATTTATTTAGATAATCCATATTAGCAACATTATATTTTCTATCACTCAATACAATAGCTAATTCACTTTTAAGAAAATATCACTAGAAATTATATTAAATATGAATCAATACAGCTAAGTGGGTGTATGGCGTATCAGAATTTGAGACTATTATCGATGTATTAGTGGATTGTGACATCTCATCTGGTTTATCTGTAATTACACCTCACATGTAGACAAATTCCACAGGAAATGGAGGATTGGATGGTCAGTGTTTGACATGGACTGATGGTGTGTCACTGGATTGTCACTTGTGATCATCCCAAAACTGGTTTGACAAGCCCCGTCTTGATTGACAGGCTATCCTAATACAGGTGTAGTAATGCTGACTGGCAAAGACATTCTACTGTTATAGCAACCACTGTTCTTGAACAAGCTGTTAATTAGTCGTATTAAACTCTGATTTTTAATTTATATCTGTATTAGTATTATATTAGTATTCATACAGTGATCAGCAGGCAGGACCCTAACAAGAGGAAAACCTAAATTTAACATGAAAATCATCAGATCCTTCTCATAATGTTGAAAGTTGAAAACATTAAGGATCCCCACATCAAAACACAATGCCAGCCAACTTCAGTGTTCCCCCTCAAAATCGAACACGTT